CTTTCCTGTGACTGTTGTTGCAATACCATGGATGACTCAACTGCCAGAGTTATGCTAGTGACACTGAAGTCATGCCATGTCAACTCAATTCTAAGAAATACTGTAAGGATCCCCATTTCACTCAGGGAAAGTTCATTAGGTATGCAGTGCATTAGGTTATGCTTCAATTAGGCAGGCTTCTGCACTGACATAACCACTGGGATATAAAATTGTACCCAGCCTCATCATTCACCATCTTTTCCATTTTTTTTGTCTCTCCACAGCCTCACTGCCACATAATGTGTATGTGTCTAGGATCATTTGCTGTCACCCTCCCACCGTAAAGTGAACCTCAGGTAACAGAATGTGCCTTTGTCTTGCTCACTTCATGAAGAATATAAAGTTGAAATAACTAAATCTTTCCTCTTGAACCCATGTTAAAATCCATTTTTTCCATACAGTATTTCAGAGTCCACAAGTCATCATTTTGATTTACTGCTTTCTTTTAAAGTTTTATTTTATGAAAGAAATCGAGCTGTGCATCACAGATTAAGTCAATTGGTAGAGATCCTTTCCAGAAGGAAGTAGACCTTGGGTTCAATCCCCAGCAACTCACCCATGCAGCTGCTTGGGGATCCCTGTAATTCTGCAACTCAGGGATTAGAGGTAAGATAGTCAATGCTTTCAGGTCATCATTGCTACATAGCCAGCTAGAGGCTAGCCTGGGCTACTTGAGTCCCTGTCTAAAAATATGAGTATCGAGTTCAGCAAGATTACTCAGAAGGTAAATACGTTTCTTGTCAGGATTCAAGCCCTGGGTCTGATTGTTAGATATTTAATTCAGTTCTCAAATTTCTGACCTTTATTCTCTGCAAACCTGCCTAGAAAAACTCCCACGGCAGCACAATGGACTTCACCATCAGCAGGGAATGAGCAAATTCCCACTGTCATCCTGGAGCCTCCTCTTTTGTTTCACCCATAGCAAATCAATTCACAGTGTTAATCTCTGTTTCCAAATCCACTCACAATTGATCATCCCTCCTACTTTATCTTCTGCAAGACCTCCTCATTTCCAGAATTGATTATGTCATTGACTTTACTGTATTTCCTGTGATTGTTCTAGCAATAACATGGATGATCAAACACAATTATGCACTGAAGTCATATCATGTAGAGTTAATTCTGAGATGCCCCATAAAGATCCCCACTTTACTTTGGGATGGTCATTAGGCAATCAGGGCACATGATACATACAACATACCTATGAAGTTTATTATTACACTTCTGGAGCATCTAGTGTCTGATTCCAGCCTCCCTGGTATCTTGGGCAGTCTTCTCATCTCAGGACTTTGCACATAGTGACTGCTTTCTCTCCCTGTTGTTCTGCTCCAGTAGTTGCATGGCTAATAAATTAACCAAATCTCAGGGTTCTGCTTCAGTTAGGCAGGCTTTAGCATTGACATCCCTACTGGGATATAAAATTGTACCTGCCTCTGTCATTCACCATCCTATCACTATTTTTCTGTCTCTCCACAGCGCTTGCTGCCATGGAATGTGTCCCCATCGGAATTCAGTTGCTGTCAACTTCCCACAGTGTAAGAATGTCAAGTAGCACTTGTGCCTTTGTCTTTTTCACTTCTTCATGAACAACCCACCAGTTTATGGTGGTTTATCATCAAAATGAATGGGTACTATGAGGAAATACCAGACATTTTTTGTGAACATTTGTTCCTGTTCTGTAGATCTCCCTGGTCAGTAGGTTATTGAAGGTCTAGTCCATTCATAAACAGGGGTCCCAAGAATCTGGGGCTGCAGAAAACAGTTTAATACACAAGAGGGATGTGCTTATAATCCTACTGAAATTTTAGCACAAGCACATACAGAGTCACTGCACAGGAAGCCCCTGTCCAATCTACAGGACAGATGGAGATAGTTATGCATGAAACCAGAGCTGCAGAACTTTGTTCAGTCTGACTGCAGGCACAGGACAGGAAGAGTTGTGTAAAGAGAATGTTCTCAAAGGGAAGCTAAACCTGATTAAATAAACGCCACAGCCTGATTTACTGTTAAAGTGGACAATAACCCACAGGGCACAGACAATGTCACCGAAAGCACAAATGCTGTTCTATCCTTTCATTTTTTCTCTCCTTCTTTCAGTTCTAGGTCTCAGATTACTGATCAGACTCCAGTGTGATAGTTCTCTGCAATGTCTTTCCACTGAATATGAATACAGGGAAGGAGAAGGCTGTGATACAGCAAGCATTACAAAAGCAAACCTGCCTAAATGACAGCTGTCACCACATCCTGACACAGCTCATGTTCCTCATAGATGTAGAGAGACCATGTCTCCTGATTTACATTAAAGAAAACAACAGCGAAGAAGATTCTTCAGACACAGGTTTCCTTAGTCAGATACAGCCGAAGTAGCATGCCGAGAGACCTGTTCTCTACAGGCCAGAGGCCATGGGTTAAAGAAATGAAACAATTGGCCCTGGACTAGTAAGCAAGATGCCAGTGAGATACAACAACCTCTCACACACTGCAGATGTTCTACCACCTGTCACATCCATTACAGCCATTTTAAGGAGAGGAATAAGAAACATGCCAAAACAATTAGACATGCTTTACCAAAGCCAACATCTATATCAATTCCTTTAGCTCTACCTCAACTTGAAGGACTGACTGAGATCATCCATGAGACTGTCCTGTCCACCTTTCACCAAAGCACCCCAGTTTCCAAGCTGAGGATCCCCACTCTTAGGCATGTTACTAAATGTCTTGTCACCTCTCAGGTCTTGGGAGAAAAGAGATGGTGAGGGTTAGAATTTACATCTGAATGCTCCTGCTCCTTACCTGATAATCCTGAGTCCAGTGTATGTGCTCAGTGCAGTTCAGATGCAGGAACCACTGTCCGCTGTGCTCCAGTCTCTTCTCATGAAACCCACCCTTTCCTCCTATATAGGACTTTTATACTCTTCTGGCTTCTGCCCATCTCCTATCAGTGTGTTTTGGCCAATCATGGAAGAGCATGGATGCAGCTGCTTTTCAGAATTAACTGCATTTCCAAGAAGAGGAAAGTGAAATAAAATAAACAGCTGTTTGTCCTTCTCTCAACACTTCATTTCTTGGCAGAAGAAGTCGGACTTTCCTAAAATAACACTGTGGAATGGGGCTTGTGCAAAGAAGGGGGACAAAGAGAAGCAGCTTACTAGCTAGTCTGGCCAGCTTCCCTTGAGAATTGATTTCCTGATGTGTGACTCCACAATGGAGCCTGAACTAAACTCACACTATATATTGGGTGTGGTCCTGTATCAATGCCAATTTTAGTCTCAGACAAGAAACAACCCATTTGACCCAATCTGACTACAACCTTATTTCTTCACAATTGTAGATTCATTTTCCTTAATTCTTGTCATTCTGAGCTCACCTCTTAATACAGGCATTAAGTCTGGCTTGGGCTTGACAGGTCTTAAACATGTTGTCACATCCACAGTCACTTTATAAGAATAGTTGTCTTGCTGTGTCCAGAAGACACTGTTACCTTGTATTCATCTACAGCTCTGGCTCTTACAGTCTTTTCACCCATTCTTCCACAAGCATTCCTAAGCCTTTGGAAGTGGAAATATGTATATTCCATAAGGGCCTGGACATTTATCGATGCATCTTGACCATATTGTATTGACCATCTCGTGGATATTTGTATTGATTATTATCTAATGCAAATTAGAGCTTCCATGATAAGGGTTAAGCAATGCCTTAACCTATGGGTATTATGGAAAATTATTTGGAGCTGGTTTAATATAATGCCCTTTTAGCAGAATAAAAATAAAAATAGTATGTTTTCACTGGTGTGTATGACCAATATAACCTTGGGTGAATGCCCAGATATCTTACCAAGGATGTATGTCATCTTGTGGAGTATATTAAATCCAATCAGGAAGTATTTGGTTACTACCATGACATCCTTGTCACTACTACATTGGTGGTTTTGTCTTTTCTGGCCAGTATTACTGTTGATCACAAAGTTCTTACCTGCATTTGATTAATGTTCTATTTTCTTCTCTGCTAGTGAGGCTAGAACCTTCCAGCTCTATGAAAGCTAAATATTAGGGCTGGATCTTCTGGGTCAGCATCAGCTTGATTTCTACATGTTTTGTAACTCGGGGGTTTGGTGATTTCACTCACAAGATCTTATTACCAAGTTCTGAAAGGTAACAAAGAGCAATGACAAGGAGTGTATATATCAGGGTCATCACTCGCCAACAAATCCAAAAAGGCTAAGTCATTCCTGATTCTGTACTTTTTTTTATTTATTACCCTGTTCTGTCCTACAGGGACTTTGTTGCCACAGTTGAGGGCAACTGCATCTTCTTTTATATGATGTAGATATATTATAGGAAGCCTCTACATTATTAGATTGCATACATTTGATTTTGAAAATTCTTTTGTGTTGTTTATCTTTCCTACTTTCAGTTTCCTTCCCTACTGTAGCTCCAAGCTCAATTTAACATGTCTTGGTCCCAAATTCTCTTTTAAATCCCATCTTCCTTCTCCTGCAAGTCCTACTCCATGATATCATAGTAATTTCAAAACCTCTGTGGGTATTCCAAATGGAACTCACATATCTAAGGGTTGAAGAGAAGATCTACCCATGAGAGGGATCAAATGATGTTTGTCCCACTGTGAATCTCTTAAGTCACTTAATGTGGGGAATTACCAATATGGAGCCAGGTAAAAATACAAGGGAATTCAATTGGGAAAAACCTTACTTACAGTGCGAACTTTGTGTCTAGTTTCTATTCAGGTATGTCTGGGTATGGGATTGAGGGGACAAATCACATGGACAGCCTCACTTCCATATCTAAGCATCCATTGTAAGTCCTCATCAATTCATCTATGGTTCTTTTGGTCCCTGTTCAATGCATCAATTTTATTGTACGATATTTAATGGGGAGACACAAATGAACACCTATTTACCCCATCTAGGTACCCAGAAACAGACCAAAGAACCATCTTTCTAGTCTAGTTTTGCATGAGTGAGTTTATTAGAGTGAGAGTTACTTGCAGTAAAACTGACCAATCAGGGGCTGCTTCATCCCTGAAAAGCTCACCTCAGCAAGGCAATGATTCTCCACTCCTGCTGTCATGGAGTGCTCCTGCATGATTTACAGGCACTTTGGCTGCTCTGAAATCCCAATTCATGCAGAATGCTTTTTGCCCATATAATCTTGAGGAGAGCTTCATGAGCCTGTTATGTTCCTGTACTTTCTAAGACTTGTGATGTTTTATTTACTTTCTAAGTCATATTTTACTTCATTTGTAACTTGTATCCCTTTTTAGGGTATACATGTTTGCATATGTGTGGGCATGTCAGGCCTATGTTGGGTCTTGTCCTCAGTTAATTTCTACCTTTTTCATCAAGCCAAGTTCTCTCACTGCATGCCAAGCTTGCAGATCTACAGTCTAGGTAGCCAGCTTGCTCCATGCTTCCACTGTGTCTGCTTCTGAGTGTGGAAGTACAAAGTGGCTTCTACCCCAACTCAGCATTTATGTGGGTTCTGGGAAGTGAACTCTGGTCTTCACTCATGCATGGCAAGAGCCTCTAACTTCCTGAGTTTTCATTAGAATGTTTTAATTATGGGGAAATAGCTACAAAACACATATTCGTACCTTTTGTGTGTGTGTGTTTGCACATGTTTGTCGTCATATATGGGCACATGTTCGTGTGTGTGTGTGTGTGTGTGTGTGTGTGTGTGTTCAAGTGTGCAGTTAGGGTGGAACAAAAGAGAGGGAGGCAGAGTGATGAAGAGGGATTTGGACTGTCTGACTCTGACATATTAAGACTCATGTTCCTTATCTTTAAATTTTCCAATGGTGGAAGTGGATTGATAGTATAAAGAAAATATACAGAGGGGGAAATTTATCTAGTGATTTCTGATACTAACCATTTGATGTTTATGTTCAGTATTTGTGGGTGAAGTGAGTTTGAACTAATTTTTTGAGTATGTCTCTCTAAGGAGAACTTTGGCATCTTCTGTCACCGTGTCAAGGAAGACATGATGCAAGTAAAAGGTTTTCTTAAAGTAAAGACCTGTAGCAAGGGGCCCACCAGTAGCTGAGGCAAATTTCTCAACATATTTCAAAATCATTTCTCTTAATGTTTCTTCTTTCTTAGTTTCCATCAAATAAGGAGATTTAATGATTTTTTTCAGTTGTTCAACAGACACTTTTAAATCCTTAGCCATGACTTCCAGGGATTCATCATCCACTCCAAAGATTTCTTGATAGCGCTTTAACTTCACCTTCAGCTTCTCCACATCATCCCTGAGAATGCCCACAGCAGGAAGAGTAGCCAGAAGTACAGACTTGAAGGCTTCCAGCCAGATATACTGCTGGATGGATTCATCCTTTCTGTCAATGGCTGCCTCTGTAATATTACTAATGGAAAGTGTAAAATTGTGGCGCTTCTGAGCAGGAAGATCATTTATCAGTGAATCCATCAGGACTTGAAAATCATAGTCAGACAAATCACTGTTTGAAATCAAAAAAATCTGTGGTACATCCATGTTATTCTGACTAAAGGTGCTCTCACAGTAGCTTCGCATCTTCTGCAGGATCTTTTCTCTGTCAAATGTACGTGGTTTGGATTTCTTTTCATTGTCTAAATCCATGTCCACCTTGGTTCTCACAAAGTAGTAATTCTTTTTCATAAATCTGATTGCTTTAAGTAAGGTCTAGTTCAAGTTTTGTAAACGTGTGGCAGAAACAATAACAAAGAAGTCATACTCTTGGAATTTCACTTTCTCCAGATAATCTTCCTGTGGAAAGTTCATAGTTCCAATGCCAGGCAGGTCCCATAAAGTCAAACTTTTAATTTTGGGGTGTTTGTATGGAGTTCTCACCATAGTCGTCTCTACTACTCCAACTGCAGCTGCACCTTTATCTTCTGGTCCAACCCGCCTCAGGGCATTGATGAAGCTGGACTTCCCTGCTCCAGACTCTCCTGTCACAGCAATGTTTATTGGGGCACTATCAATATTTTTTAATGCATCACTGATTACAGAGCTTGCTCCCTGAATATTTCCCTTTTTCAGATGTAGCTCAATTGAATGGATGATTTCCTGAGAAATGATTTTGTTTCCTCTTTTCATCTTCTTAAAATATGCAGTGAAACTGGGCAACAAATCTCCATGGCCTTCATCCTTAGCTGTTTCAGAGGAGGACTGTCCCATTATTGTGATTTTTAAGTCACTGAAAGAAGGAAGGAAGAATAAGTTGCAAGAGATCAAAGGTGCTTTTGTGCTTACTATTATGTTCCTTCACTATGTTTCAGCGTTAGTTACATTCTGATATTGACTAGCTCCATATATATTTTGCTGATTTTTTTTTTACAATCAGATACAAATTATAGCTCTTTTGGAGGAGAAAGTCTCATTTGAGGAATTGTCCCCATCTTTTTGGACTTGAGGAATGCCCATGGAACATTTTGTTGATTGAGGATTGATGTGGGAGGTCCCATCCTACTGTGGGTTGTGCCACTCTTTGATGGTGGTTCTGGGTAATTTAAGAAAGCATTATTGAACTATGAGGAGCAAGGCAGCATACAACATTCTCCCATTTTCCCTTCCTTGACTCCTGTTGTGTTTCTGTCCTGACTTCTCTCAAATATGGACTGTGAACAGAATATTTTAGGCCATTTTCTTTTCATCATTTTCTTTTCAAAATGTCTTTTGTCATGGTGTTTACAAAAGCAATAGAAAGGAAACTCAATAGAAAGGAAACTAGAGCAAATTTCTACTAGCTCTCAATTAAATCCTTAATTATGAAAAATGGACACTCAAGTTAAATAAGAGAAAATAATATAAAAATTTGTAGGACTCCTTAGCCAGCACCAGGAATTACAAAAACAAGAACAACCATGTTGCCTCTACCATGACTGCAGTTTTGTATAAAAATCCAAGATATTGTATGCATCTGTGCACACTTCCTTTAGTATGTGCTTTCAAATGAGTGGAAATTTAACATAGTCTAGCTTTGTACGCTGAGAAATCAGTAACCATAAGTGATAATTGATATTAGTTTTTAATTGATGTCAAATCCCTCCAATTACTACTGAAATCTCTTTTGTCTCTTTTATTTATGTTTTGAAAGGGTCTCAGTAGGAGGTGAGTATACTCTCTGTTCCTGCACTATTCCTTCCCAAAGTCCCTTTCACCTGGGATATCTCTGGGCCTGCACCTGCTTAGAGTGGACCCAGGCAGGGAGGAGCTCCCTGAGTCTGGAAACACTTCACTCTTCCTTCCCCCTCCACTGGCCTGACCCCTACCAAGGTGAGTATACCTTATGCCCCTGCCCTACTGCTGCCCAACGTCCCCATCACCCCAGATCTCTCTGGGCCTGCACCTGCTTAGAGTGTACCTGCCCAGGCAGGGAGGAGCTCCCTGAGTCTGGAAACACCTCAGTCTTCCTTCCCTGTCTGCCGGCCTGACCCTTAAGGAGTAAGAAGTCTACTAGGAGAGGCAAGACCATCCAGAGCTATGGACATTGAAGTCTAGGCCCACACACACCACCTGGTGACAAGAGGAGATAGAGAGACCCCACCTGCACCCACTGGAAGAAGAGATGGGAAGAAGACAGAATAAGAACACATTCAACATCTGAAAGACCAATATGACAGCACCAGAATCTAGGGACTCCACACCAGCAAGATCTGAGAAGCCCAACACAGAGGATGAAGAAGAGATGGACCTCAAAAATTATCTTAGGAAGATGATAGAGACCTTTAAAGAGGAAACAAGAAAATCCCTTAAAGAAATAGGAGAAAAAACAAGCCAAAAATTACATGAAATAGAGGAAAAGAAACCAAAAATTTCAAGAAAGAAACAATTCTCTTGAAGAATCTAAAGAAAACCAAGAAAAACCAACCAAACAAGTGAAGGAAGCACTCAAATCAGTTCAAGGCATGAAAGCTGAAATACAAGCAATAAAGAATACACAGAATGAGGTGATGCTAGAAATGGAAAGACTGGATAAATGATCAGGAACTAAAGATGTGAGTATAACCATTGAATATAAGAGATGGAAGAGAAAATCTCAGTTGCTGAAGCCTTGCTAGAGGATATGCACATAGTCAACGACAAAGGAAAATTTCAAGTCCTACAAATCTCTAACACAAAATATCCAGGAAATATGGGACACTTTGAAAAGACCAAATCTAAGAATAATAGGTATAGAAGAAGGTGAAGAAATACAAGTCAAAGGTACAGAAAACCTATTCAACACAATCATAGAAGAAAAATCCCCAACCAACAGAAGGATATGCCTATCAAAGTACAAGAAGTTTACAGAACACTAGACAGACTGGACCACAAAAAGAAGTTCCCTCAACAATAATAATCAAAACACCAAACCTACAGAATGAAGAGAAAATATTAAGAGAAGCAAAGGAAAAAGACCAAGTAACACGTAAAGGCAGACCTATCAGATTCAAACCCGACTTCTCAATGGAAACTTTGAAC